ATACAGTGGTGCCTCACACAACGATGTTAATTGGTTCCAAAAAAATCAACGTTGTGTGAAACATCGTTCTGTGAAACACCATTTCCCATAGGAATGAATTGAAAACTGGTTAATCCGTTCCAATTGGAACAGATTGCCGTCTTTAAGTGAAAAAACCCATAGGAAACATCGTTGAGTGAAACAATGTTTCCTCCATTGGAATGTATTGAAGCCGACTCAATACATTTCAATGGCTTTGCGAAGTCCTTTTTCGCTCCTGTAAAAGTGCCTTACAGTGTTTGGAACAGGTTTTAAATGCTTGCAATCGTTAGCCCACCTCCTGAACCCTATGCAAACTTAATTTGGTGTTGTTCTGAGTCGTCCTTAATTTTTAGTGATTTTTTGAATTTTCTCTCATTGGAATGTATTGAACTTTCCGTCCAATGCATTCCAATGAGAGAAAATTCAAAAAATCACTAAAAATTAAGGACGACTCAGAACAACACCAAATTAAGTTTGCATAGGGTTCAGGAGGTGGGCTAACGATTGCAAGCATTTAAAACCTGTTCCAAGCACTGTAAGGCACTTTTACAGGAGCGAAAAAGGACTTTGCAAAGCCATTGAAATGTATTGAGTCGGCTTCAATACATTCCAATGGAGGAAACATTGTTTCACTCAACGATGTTTCCTATGGGTTTTTTCACTTAAAGACGGCAATCTGTTCCAATTGGAATGGATTAACTGGTTTTCAATTCATTCCTATGGGAAATGGTGTTTCACAGAACGATGTTTCACACAACGTTGATTTTTTTGGAACCAATTAACATCGTTGTGTGAGGCACCACTGTATATTTATCATATTTTACTTTTTCTTTTAAACTATTCAGTCCTTTAAATAAGCACCTGATAACCTGCACACATTCAAGTTAGGGACATCACTGCTTTTCTTTGATGCCCTGTCCATGTCCTTCTGAGCCCAACCCTACCTGGGCAGTCTTCCTTTCCTCCTCAAAGCCCTCCATATCAACTTTGAGCCCCTTCTCCTCTGCAATGAGGCCAGTGAGATCCACAGGGAAGCCATAGGTGTCGTACAGCAGCCAGGCCGTGTCTCCTGTAGAGAGGCAAGAAAGGAAGAACGGCCAAAAAGCACTGGTTTAACTCACAATCACCCCCAATACCCACAGATATTTGTCAAGTGTTCAGAAGAGAATGTCACCTTTACTTAATAGCCAAGCCTCTGCTTTCTTTTTGCTACCCATCTGTTGAGCTCTCAAACAGAGAAAGCTCAAGGAAGAGGAGCAGTCTGGTCTTACTGATGCAGAGGTATGAAGAAGGAAATGAAACATGGAAGAAATGCCTGCAATTTCTTTCCTTCTTATAAACTTTGAAAGGTGATATATTCCTTCCCTTGATGCTAGAGTTATTAAGTTCAGAGACAGAGAGCAGATCCATTTTCCCTTTATTTGTGCCCAAGGCTGGGATAAAATCTGAAAACAAAAGAAAAGTCAACTGTGGTTTTTTCCCTATACACTATAATCTAAGTGACAGCATATCAGAGTGTCACCCAAATCAACAGACTAATAGAACTGTTTGCCTCAGAGGTGAGAGGAAAGAGGACAGCCAAGGAAGCAGAAGGAATAAGAAAGAATAAGAGAATTGAATGAAGGAGATGAATGAGTTGCTATCAAGATGGAGGCAGGACCTCACCATCCGAGGGAACCAAGAGCTTAAAAAAAAGATTGTCCATCAACTACTGCCTATCAAGGTGAGTGGGAAAGACAATCCACTGCAAATATATCCTTCTTCCCCATACAAAAGGAACTTAGAAAGTACCAATATTGCTATACTTGGTTATTAGGGATGAGCACGAATCAACAAACCAGTAGTTTTTTTCTTGGCCGAACAGGTTTGGGGCTTCCCAACCCCACCTCCTCTAGTAGGCATCCACTCAAGGGTAAGTGTCCAGTAGCCAAAAGATGACCAAGAAAGAATCAAAGCTTGCTGGGTGGAGCAATGTGTAAGGTAAAGGTTCCCCTTGACAAATTGTCCAGTCGTGTCTGACTCTAGGGCGCAGTGCTCACCCCCGTTTCCAAGCCATAGAGCCAGCGTTTGTCCAAAGACAGTTTCCTTAGTCACGTGGCCAGCGCAACTAGACACGGAATGCCGTTACCTTCCCATCGAGGTGGTATCTATTTATCTACTTGCATTTATACATGCTTTCGAACTGCTAGGTTGGCAGGAGCTGGGACAAGTGACGGGAGCTCACTTCGTCACGTGGATTCGAACGTACGACTGCTGGTCTTCTGACCTTGCAGCACAGGCTTCTGAGGTTTAACCCGCAGTGCCACCACTTCCCTTTGTGTAAACTACATATGTAAACTACATATTAACTTGTAAACAGCCCAGAGAGTGCTTTAAGCACTATGGGGCGGTATATAAACAGCACACTTTCTTTTTGCTATATTACATTTTTTTAAAGTATATAAAATCAATTCTAAAAACACAGTTAAAAGCAACAGAGCACAAGAGTACAATACCAGAATGTGATGTGATTAATAATAATTGCATGCCACCAAGTCAATTCTGTCTTATGGGAACTCTCTATAGGGTTTTCTAGATAAAGAATATTCAGAAATTAGAAGGTTTTGAGGCTTATCTAGGCCAAGCTCCACCCAAGCTTCCTATTCAGAAAGAGAGCTCCTGGCTAGCACTGGGGCAGTAACAGGAAGCTTGGCCTAGCTAGCTCTCAAAGTCTTCCAGTTTAAGCCTCTCTCTCAGATAAACCACACTCAGGTATTTTAAAGGGGCCTTTATGTTAAGTACAACTCTGAGCATGGAGAATTATAGTATTTGTAATCCAGAAAATTTAAATTTCAAGTTCCTAGATGGGAATAATTGGTCAATAGAGGGACATCAGTCCTCTGTCACCTAAATACATACATTTCTTTAAGGCTCAAGTGATCATAATACTTAAAAGTCAGAAAAAGAATAAGATGTTCTAGTCACCCATTGCAAATATGTCTGCTGTGGAACTAGGGGTGGGCACTGCCTTCTGGAGCAGCATACTGCTTGACTCACTTCTTTGAGTACCTCATCATGCAAGCTCTGCACAGGGTGGCTTTTGCTTCCTTACCAGGGATAACTTTGCTGTCCCCCAAGCTCTGAATCTTCCTGTCAAGAATGCGTCGTCCTCTATTAAGTGTCTTCAGGAATTGAACCTCTTCTTCATTGATAATGTCTTTTACCATCTCTGGGTCTTTCTTCAGTTCAGGGAAGGCACCGCCCTTACAGCAAGAGGAACCATTAGGTCAAATTAACTACATTTTACTTTATTTTATTATTAAACTTATGTACCGCTCATCTAGAACGTCTCTACTCTGGGTGATTTACACAAAACATAAAAAATAAACTAAAGGTAAAATCTAAATTAATCACAGAATCCAAGATGGAAAAAGAAAGCAAGGAAAAAAGAAAAGAAATAGGCTAGGTGATGGCTGTAGGGAAGGCCTGCCTGTATAGCCATGTCTTCAGATTGGTCTTGAAGGCCCTCAGTGAGGGGACCAGGTGGATCTCTGCAGGTAGGTTGTTCCAGAGACGAGGCGCCACTGCTGAGAAGGCCCGATTTTTAGTTTTTCCCCTTCAAACCTCTCTTGGGGTTAGGCCCCTCAGCTGCCCAGCCTGACTGGAACTGGTGATATGGGTAGAACTAGGCGGAAGAAGGCGCTCTGCCAAGCATCAAGGGCCTAAACCATTTAGGGCTTTATATGTAATAACACCTTGAACTCAACGCGGAAGCAGATAGGTAACCAGTGTAAGGCAGGCAGGTGGGGGAAATATGGTGAAATATTTTCACCCGTTAATAACCTGGCCGACCATCTGAAGTTTCCGCATCAGTCTCAAAGGAAGCCCCAAGTAGAGAGCGTTCGTCGTCGTCCAGTCGTTTAGTCGTGTCCGACTCTTCGTGACCCCATGGACCAGAGCACGCCAGGCCCTCCTGTTTTCCACTGCCTCCCGGAGTTGTGTCAATTTCATTTTGGTTGCTTCGCAGACACTGTCCAGCCATCTCATCCTCTGTCGTCCCCTTCTCCTCTTGCTGTCTTCTTTTCTCATGAGATGGCCAAAGTACTGGAGCTTCAGCTTCAGGATCTGTCCTTCCAGTGAGCACTCAGGGTTGATTTCCTTTAGAATTGATAGGTTTGTTCTCCTTGCAGTCCAGGGGACTCTCAAGAGTCTCCTCCAGCACCACAATTCAAAGGCATCAATTCTTCGGCGGTCTGCTTTCTTTATGGTCCAGCTCTCACTTCCATACATCACTACAGGAAAAACCATAGCTTTGACTATTCGGACTTTTGTTGCCAAGGTGATGTCTCTGCTTTTTAAGATGCTGTTAAGGTTTGTCATCGCTTTTCTCCCACAAAGCAGGCGTCTTTTAATTTCGTGGCTGCTGTCTCCATCTGTAGTGATCATGGAGCCCAAGAAAGTAAAATCTGTCACTGCCTCCATATCTTCCCTTTCAATTTCCCAGGAGGTGATGGGACCAGTGGCCATGATCTTAGTTTTTTTGATGTTGAGTTTCAGGCCGTTTTTTGCGCTCTCCTCTTTCACCCTCATTACAAGTTTCTTTAATTCCTCCTCACTT